ACTCTGAAAATCTTTGTTAGCTTACAGTCATCATTTCTCAAGTTACCCATTTGTTGGTTGATTATAACAAAAGGCAGAAGGTTACTAAACTGTAGGGTTTTGCAGATAGTATCCTCTTAATTAATCCTTTTAACTTAATATCTAGGGAAACCAGCTACATCCAAACTATCCTGGTGCCATTTTTGAGTGAGGCATCATAGCTTTCCATTGTCAAAGCAGGAGCCATGATTCTGAAATTTAGGAGGTGTCCACTTGTACAATATGTCTGAACTTCATCTAGCATTACCAGCTGGATCTGACCTTTTCAACTCTCACATACTAGTTCTAAGCACTATATTAAAATAAAGCACTTTTTTGGTTAGTAAAATGGAAAATGTGTGGTACACTGGAGAAGGGAAAATTTACTCGAGCACAATTTTGTTTGTATTACCTTTGTCTCTTCCTCTCGTCCTTCTCTATCATTCTCTGTACCTTGATGAAATGTAACCCAAAGTTTTTTCTCTCATCTCTTTATTCATTATTTTAGTCTGAAAATTTGGACCTGGAAAGAAAATGGCTGGGTTGCCACTTAGATAATACACTTAACTGATAGACAGTCCTTGTTTCTGGGAGGCGCAGCAATAATTCTGTCTTCAGTTGCACTTGGAGGGTAGGGTGGGAAAAGTAGAAATAGACTGATAACAAGTAGAAATGTTGGTGACTTCTTTTCTTAGTTAGGTTTTTTATTCTATATTAGCCAGATGGAAACTGTACTTATTATATTTTCTATGAAACACAGTAGCTATCTTATCTTGAAATGGTATGCTTGTTTATATATTGGGTAGTCAGAAAAAGTGAAACTTTATATGTGCCCCTGGTTATCAAAGGACTATTTGGTTCTCACTCAGGACAATTAACGGCGATAGCCTTATTAAAGTGCCTGTGTTTGTACTGATCAATAAAAACCTTGTTCCCAAAAAGGTACATTTCTGAAAGCTGCAGTATTAAATAAAAGCTGACATTTCAAAGATTGACTTTCATGCTCTGTCAAAAATGTAACAATCTAACATTTAAATCCTTAGCATTTAGCTCCTTCATTTATCATATTATTGCCACAACGAGTTTATTTAACCACCAAGTTTATTATTAAATGTGTAAGAGAACTTTTTTCCTTTTGTAGCTTTTGTTATTTTAGTTGGTTGTGTCCATATTTATAGTTATTGCCATAACCTACTCTTTATGGTTTCCCAGATCCCAGCATTTGTTTCAAGCTTGTAGACTGCAAACCTCTTGCAGGTGGAGGCTTGCAAGGGAGTATAGTTAAGAGAATTATGACTAATCTTCCATAGTCTTGTTAAAATTACATAAACATCTTAATTTGTCTTAGAAGAAGTGGAAAAGTGAAGAAACAACAATATCAGATATTAGTCACCAGGCCACCAATTGCAATATTCTGTTGATCTTCCAGGGGTGATTAATGTCATAAGCTATTGTGGTGCCAACAGAGATTGATACTACTGAAGGCTTGGGGCTGAGTTAGTATGGCTTATCCCAAATCAAGTTGACAGAACAAGGAGCAATGGGCTCACGCTGCAGCAAGGGAACTTGAGGTTGGATATTCAGAAGAATTTTCTCACGAGGAAGGTAGTAAAGCAGTGGAACAGGCTACCCAGAGAGGTGGTGGAGTCTCCATCCTTGGAGGTTTTGAAGACCTGCCTAGACAAAGCCTTAGCTGGGATGATCTAGTTGGGGCTGGTTCTGCTTTGAGCAGGGTAATTTAATGGTCATAAAATCCCAAAAGAAGGTTTAGACTGAATATAAGGAAAAACTTCTGCATGGTTCATGTGACCAGACTCTGGAATAGACTTCCAGCAGGGATGGTGTAGACACCTGCCCTGGAAATCTTCAGAAGAAGACTGGACTCATACCTTGCTGGGGTTATTTGACCCCAGCAGTCTTTCCTGCCCAGACCAGGGGGCCTGGACCTGATGATCTCACGAGGTCCCTTCCAGCCCTAAACTTGGGTGAATCTGTGAACTGCAATTGTTCCTCCTTCATACCTTACATGCAAGCCTATTGGACAATTCAGGGAAATGCTTTATGAAGACTGCCACCTATTCACATCTAACCATCCTGAACTCTGTGTTATCTTTTATATTTTATATTTCACAGAGAAAGGAGAATGAAATGGAAGGAAAAAATTCATTAATCTAAGAGAGCCAAAGATATATGGGGACATCTAGAGATTCTTTTTTACTCTACTGAGATGAGAAAAATGCAGAATGCCCAAAATTTACACACGTACAGATTTTAAACATGGAGAGCTTGATATGTAAACCAGATCAATTAGCAGAAGCTAAATAATATAGTAATTGTAAGAAGTTTGTTGATTCCCATATAGAAACAAAGACGGTATGAAAGCAGTCTATTAAGACTTTATAAAGTTTTTGTGCAGCAAGAAAGGAGTGTTACAATACGGTTTCTTGTGGTAATAAATTTAAACGGTCTGGTTGTTATTAAAGCACTAATCAGGAAGGAAACAGAAGTCTGTCCTTTTTTTCATAAAACGGTATGAAAAAACTGTGCACACTTCAAAATGCAGAAAAGACAGAAATTAAAAGCTTAAATAACTGCAAACAGCAGGGTACGTCAGTAATGGAAGGCTTTCTTAAATGACTTTGACAGTTTTTGCAGGTGCACATACTATGTCACTTCATCTGGTAGAGCTTTGAAAAAGATTTACAGTTCTCTTTTTGGAATTTATTAAGAGTTTCTTTTTTTCTTTTTCCTTCTTTGCAATGTAGTCTGAACATACCTCTCCCTCATAGTCATTTTTATTACAACTATGAGAGGAGAGTTACATCTATTTAAAAACATATGTTGCTTTTTGCCTCAATGGCTAGCTCATGAAGCTGTAAACTCCAATGAGTGTGGCTGTTTACCTCAGGATATACTCCTATTTTAGGTTTCTTTCTTTTTAGATCTTTTATCAAGATCTAGAATCAAAAGATTTCTATGTAAACCTGTAATGGGCAACAAAAAAGGAAATATGTAGACAGCAAGAAATTTCTAATTATTTTTCTTGGCTTCATGCTGGTATGCTCAATCATACTCTGCTGCCCTATATTATGCTATTTCTACTGGTGTCCACTGACATACAAACATAATACTTTCAATAGACTGCTCAAAGGAGCTGAGACATGGGTAACTATTAAGCTCGATGACATTTGCCAATTCTAACTAGTTTATTCAGTTCCTGTTTCCCAAAGACATACTTCTTTGCTGCTGTATTTGGTCTTTAAAACTTTTTTATTGTTTCCAGAAGACAGTTATTGCAATCTCATGGAACTTTATTCTGGCAGGAAAATACTTTAATTGTCCCAACTCTGAAAAGCGCTTGGACAGGTGATAGCCACAGAAAAAGATATGTTCCAAAAGACATTGTCAGTGTATCACTGACTATTACAATTAGTCTGAGAAGTCAACAGTTCATTATTACATTTGATATTGACTCTGTATTGCATTCTGTCCCTCACTTTGATATTAGTTACAATGTAAGATTTAGTATGGATTCGTTGCCTGATTTCAACTTAGCTGACCATACTGTTTCTCTCATTCTTATCAGTGGACATTTGCTTTTAGACATTAAGGATCATATGTTTCCTTTCTGTAGCAAGGCAATGCAGAAAAGACTAAGAACTTTGGGAAAGGATTACAACAATTATTGACATAAATTAAATATCTGTTGATAGTCATTTTTGAAGGGGAAACTAGCACAAACCTGCAGTGGGTATACCCAGAGATACTCATGGAGGAATAAAAAAAAAAGAAGCTTCTGTGGTGCGGTATAGGAAGAGCATACTTTGTATGTGACATCATCTGTAGGAGGCACACTGAAATCTTCAGTGAGCTTTCCTGGAACCTTGTAGTGTTAATATTAAGGCCATATTTTCCCACCATTAAGCCCTTCTGGAAGGCTTAGACATTCAGGGGCTTTGGTTTTGTTTTCGTTTTTTGCCATAAGGAGGTATAGATGTTGGGCAGAAGTACTTCATAATAGTGTATGAAGTTTTTAAAAAAATAAGCTGACATCGAGCATTTTAGATTCACACCTATTTCACCTACATGATGTCGTTAGACCATAGTCAAGTTTCTGAAGTTTAAAAAACGTTTTTTTTCTTTTGTGTGGAATGATGTTCTTCATAGATTATACAGTTTCTAATGTTATGTCCTCCTAACAGGAAGCAGAAATGCGTAGAGTTTTGAGGTGGATTTAATAGCAAGCTACTACACTTCGCTGTGTACACCAAAATGTTTGGCTTAAAGCTTTGGTTTAGGTAATTGTGACGTGTTCAAGTCCAGTAAAACATTTCAGTGAAAGTCTGCACATGCTAAATAAGGGCTTACCTATACAGGGAATGTAGTGTGCATTAAGCTAAGGTGTGAATTTACAGAGCGCTAGCTACTTCACACTAACTCTCCATAGGGATACTTAAAGTGCACTAAAATGCAAGGTTGCTTTAAAAATGGAATGAACTGCATTGCACAAAGGCACTCTCAGTGTACGTAAAATGTTCCCCGTTAGGTAATTGACAAAAGGAGTTAGTGAGGAGTACCTAATTCACTGAAATTTCACCCGTGGTGTACTGCATATTAACTTCCCCATGTAGACCAGTTTTTAGGCGCATTCAGAAATTCTTGGTTTGTTTAATATTCCAGACTTTTCTCCATCTGTCTTTGCCTGCTGTTAATCAATGTTTTGGGTGAATGTTAAGTTCTTGGGCCATAAAGAAAAACAAGTTGCCTTGTTCATTCTTTCATTGGTGTTTGTTGAATTCTTCACATTATCCCATCAGAATCTCTACAACTCTGACTACTCAGTATATCACACTCCTCACCAAAAGTTTAATCCTGGTGAGTGGTCAGAGTCTTTATTGAAAGATCGTTGAGTCAGACTGAAAATGAGCAGCAATGGAAAAAGCAAAAAACACAGACAAAAATATTAATTTTTTATTTTCCAGACCCGTTTCAACTCACGCTTTGGTAATCATGACTTCACCCTGGATGAAGATGATGATGAAATAGACAGAAGAAGCAAGTGAGCTCCCTATCTACCTATTTTTGTTTGTTTGTGTGTGTCATGACGTAGGGTCCCCAGGGATGGCCGTGATGACACTTGGGCTCCATGACCATTCCTGTTCCACCCTGTGGATCCCTTCTAAGCTTGCCTGTCATATCTTGTTGGTTGATATAATAATAAGTTGGAAAGCTGCCCATGAGTTTGTATGGTCACGGTCCTGCTGAACCCCACTAGAACCTGTTGATCTTGGATCCATTGCCAGATCTCACTCAAAGTCAGCGATTCTCGAGACACCCTAAGCCTTATGAGCTAGATGCATGGCTCCAAAACTGACCTTTACCATGCCCCATGCCTCACAGATTTTACTTAAATGTTGTCCCTTTTTGATGAGGCCACAGTCTAGCTTGGCCTCCTGTTGTCACTGGGCCCTTGGCCCCAGTAGCCATGCCCTCTTGGGGTCCCTTCACCTCCTGTATCCGCGGTACCCTCACTGGGGTCTCTCGACCCCCTGTAGCAGCATCCTTTGGCACTGGGCTTGCTGCGGCCCTGTTGTTGTGCCCTCACTGGCACTGCGCTCACTTTAGCCCTAATGAGACCTCCTCCTTCCCAAATAGCCTCGTCCCAGTCCACTGGATTCAAATAACAACGTAAATACAAGCCCCTGTGCTATAATGTAACAGCAGCAATAACATTGGAGATCACACTCTGCCCCTTTGAGGCAAGCTTCTCCCTCAACAGTGTGTGCCTCCTAGCCCCAGATACTTTAGGAGCACTTCGAGCCCATTAGTCTTACCAGCAGCAGCATAGGCAATCAAGCATCTGGGAGTAGCATTTCTGCAAAAGCTCCTTCCCCCTGGCTGCTGACAGAGACCTAATCCCCAGCTATTTCCTTCCAATCAGCTGACCAGGTGCAGGTGCCAGCTAATACCCTGATTAGTCTGCTACCAAGGAAACCTGAAGCTGTGGAGCCCTACCAAGCTCTCAGGGCTCCCTAGCTAAGCTGCCTCTGCTCTCGAAGGAGCAGGCACACCTTAGTGCCCTGTGACAGTGTGCACATGCGGTGGGCAGGAAAGGAGAGAGCAGCATCTATCCAGCAAATGAAAATGTAAATGAGCTGAATTCATTTGATTCAATATTTTTCTATTTAGGCTCCCAGAATTACTCTCAACTGGAAAGAAAATCTTAAATACTCTAAAATAATATAAAAATAAAAAACCTCCACTGGATACCGGGGAAATTATTATTATTTATTTGTATTGTTATAGCTCCTAGGAGACTCACTGGTGGATCAGGATCCTACTGAGTTGGCCACTGCACAAACAAGACAAAGAAACAACCCCTGGCCCTGAGAGTTTGCAATCTAACACAAAAGATAAAAGTGGGATGCAGGTAGATAGCTAGAGAAGTAATAGGAAATAATTGGCCTGTCCCTACAATGATGGGGGTGTAGGTTGTAGCCGTGTTGGTCTAAGGACAAGGGCAGACAAGGTTCTTTGGGTAAATCTTATATGTTTTATTAGACCAACTTAAGTAGTTGGGGGGCAAAAAATTTTAAGCAAGCTTTCGGGTTTAAAAACCCTTCGTCAGGCTAAGGAAGTTTCTGCAATCGGTGTGTGCTCTTCCTGGATGGAATGAAAAGTAAAGAAGCCAGAGGCTGGGCTGCTATGCGTACAAGACAGGTAGTCAGTGAAGATGTAAATTGAGGAGTCAGTGAGTGAGAGACAGGCTGGGTTGCGGGGGAGAGAAGGGGGATGAATAGTGGAGAGGTACCTGGGGAACCCCTTCATCCCCCTTCTCTTCCCCTCCCCCACCCAGCCTGTCTCTCACACACTGACTCAGTTTACATCCTCACTGACTTCCTGTCTTGTATGCATACCAGCCCAGCCTCTGGCTTCTTTACTTTTTATTCCATCCAGAAAGAGTGCACAACTGCAGAAACTTCCTCAGCCTGACGAAGGGTTTTTAAACCCAAAAGCTTGCTCAAAATTTTTTTCCCCCCACTATTTAAATCGGTCTAATAAAAGATATCAGATTCACCCAAAGAACATTGTCCACAATGGTGGGGAATTTAATGGCAGCCTTCAGCTACCTGAAGGGTAGTTCCAAAGAGGATGGAGCTAGACTGTTCTCAGTGGTGGCAGAAAGAGGAGCAATGGTATCAAGGTGTAGCAAGGAAAGTTTAGGTTAGGTCAGGGGTGGGCAAAATATAGCCCATCAGCTGATTGATCTGGCCCACAGGGGGGTGCCTGCCAGTTGATTTAATCCATCCCATGGCTGCCCCCATGGCGCTTCACATGGGGGCAAGCCCAGCCTGTGGCAGCCCACACGGTGCTCCAGCCCATGCCCACTGGCCCAGCTGCAGCCACCTGGGTGCTGCTTCTCTCCATGGGTGACTGAGTGGGTGGAATGCAGGTGGGAACTGGAGCCAGAGCCCCACACGCTGGGACAGGAGCCACCCAACTGAAGCTCACAGCTGCTTTCCACCCACCTGGCCACCTGTACTGGGAAAGCACAGTAAATGGAAAGCAGCTGGGAGTTGGAGCCAGAGCCCTTTGTGCTGGGGCAGAAACCACTTGGCTGAAGCTTCCTCCCAGCCAGGAGCAGCAGAGCAAGAGGAGAAGCCACTGCTGGAGGCAAGGGGAACAAATCTGTACCCAGGCAGCTGCACCTGCATCAGGAGCAGCCCGACCAGAAACTACATGCTGGCTGGGGCTGGAGCATGGTGGGAGCAGCTAGGGCTTGGCTCCATGCGGGGTGCCATGGAGGCAGCCATGGACCACACCATGTAGGTGAGCTCTGCTGCATGTGTCCCCTATCCCCTCCTCCATCCCCTCGGCCCTGGCTGGGAAGAGGCTGGATAATCATCTATCTGAGAAAATTTAAGAACAGCAAAGCCTCCATCTGTGCCAAGGGGTTGGACTGTATATGACCCTTGAGGTTCCTTCCCAACCGTATGATTCTCTGAGACGTATCTACAAGAGAATTGTATGTCTGTGAGTCATCAGTGATTGCAGATGAAATATCCAGACACAAAGTGTACCAGAACAAGTGGAGGGGACCACAGTTGGAGTCCTGTGAAACTTCACAAAAGGTGGAAGTGGAATGAATCACTAAAGGGAGCACTAAAGGAATGATTAAGAGGAGGGATCAGAACCAGGAGTAGAAAGCCCAGGGAGGACAAGATTGCAAAAAGAAAAGAGCTTTGTTGATTGTGTCAAAAATATCTGATTGATCAAAGAGGATGAGGGTGGACTACTGCTCCTAGGTTTGTCTATGAAGAGGTTACTTGAAATGTTGGCGAAAGTAACTTCTGGTGATAGTTGTTTTAGTAGAATGGAAAGGGAAGAAGAGGACAGATGGAACTAGAAGAAAAAACTCCAGACAGTGATTTTAGATGGTTGAGCTTGTAGGTGATAAGGAAAAGGGCAATGACATAGTAGCTAGGTGTCAACAGTGGTCATTTTTAAGATGAGATATGATTAAAGCATATTTCTGTTGTGAGGAGAAAAAGCCAGAGGATAGTGAAACATTAAAAAGCATAAGGAAGGAGCTGAGAATTGATGTGAGGGATTTCAGAAGATGGGTTGCGGGGCTCACTGAGGAAAATGACGTGAGAAGAGGAGCACAGGGAAGACATTTTTGCATTTGTGATATGAGAGGGAGAGGAGGCTGACAGGAAGGAGAGGCTGACTTAGGGTAGACAAAAGGTCATGCTTTTTTCTGTTTTTATTTTCTCTTGAAAGAAATCAGCAAGATTCTATATACAAAAAGCAGTAAAGGCAGAGGAAGAAAAAGTTTGAGGAAGAGTCAAATGTAGTAAAATTATGGCCAGGCTGACTTTTGCCATTACACCTCTGTTCTCTCCCTACATTCTGCCATCTTCTTGGGTAAACAAATCTACTTTTCCAGCTAAACTGAATCCCATACTCGTGATCAGGGATCCTGTTTTTTTTCAAAAATCCCAAATTTTCTAATTTAGAAAAGTAACCTAAATTCCACATTTTTCCATGGTACCACTATATCTATCTAAAAAATGAAACACCACTATTATGTGTGTGTGTATAGATAGATCTATCTATCTATATATAGCTAGATAGATCTATCGATCTATCTATATCTATAAATATAGATCTCTCTCTCTCTCTCTCTCTCTCTCTCTCTCTCTATATATATATATATATGTATGTATGTATGTATGTATGTATGTATGTATGTATGTATAAATAGTGGTGTTTCATTTTAATCATGAAAAATGTGGATTTTGAGTTACTTTTTTAAATCCTGGTTTTCTCTGATAAAAAATACCAGATTCTCTGACTAATATCTATCTATCTATCTAATCATGGGAAAATGTGGATTTTTGGATTACTTTTTTAATTCCTGGCTTTCTCTGATTAAAAAAAATCCCAAATTCTCTGATTAAAAAAATAACCCAAAATCCACCTTGGTCCATGATTAAAATGAAATGCCATATAGATAAATATAGATATATTTATAGATATATGTATCTATACATATATGGTGTTTCATTTGAATCATAGAAAAATGTGGATTTTGGGTTGTTTTTAAATCAGAAAATTTGGGAATTTTTTTAGCAGAAAAAACCAGGATCCCTGATCATGAGTATGGGATTAAGTTTAGTTGGAAAAGTAGATTTGTTTACCCAAGAAGATGACAGCATGTAGGGAGAGAATGAGGTATAATGGCAAAAGTCAGCCCGGTCATAAGTTTTCTAGCATGCCACAGTGTAAGTCAAGGACCTAAAGAAGCATGTGTTAGGAGAGGTACCAGTCGGGAATTGACAGGATAAAGTTTCATAGTTTCTAGGGTCGGAAGGGACCTGAGCAGATCATCTAGTCCGACCCCCTGCCATGGGG